TCAACAGTGTGCTGGACCCTGTGGTCTACTACTTTTCCAGCCCCACGTTCAAGAGGATATACAGAGCTGCTGTGAAAGGAAGTCTTCACAGGAAAGATGAAGAACATGAAGAGCCTGGTGTTGAAAAGATGGTAAAACAATCAGAGGACTGGACCACTGAATCTAATCAGCCTTTTGAGCACAAAACTTCATTTTAAACAGAAGAAACATAGATCTTCCTACTCCAGAATTCATATTTACATACTTTTATGTTTGATATATGTATGATGGTATCATATTTTTAAAATACAACTTTTTGAAAAGGATATTATCATATGCTGCGAAGTGCTGTTCATGATGTATCCAGAAGCAGTTTTAAAGGTCCTGATTTAGCAGGATGATCTGATAATACGACCGAAAGTGACCTGTAATTGTGTATAACGCTTTGTTGGTTGTGTGTGATGAGTAATTCCTCATCTTTCTGTGTGTGTGACCTTTTCACTTCGTAGTTTTAAGTCATTTCTGTTCTGAAGAATGCAAGAGCAAACAAATGCCTTCTTTCTTAATTGCCCTCAGTCTGAAAGGATATCATTAACAAGCAAAACCCATGTAATGTCTTTTACGTGTAATATACTGTATTGTTATCGCAAAAAAAAGCTGTTGATAACAGCAATGCATTGTGGCAAAATACCTACCAAGACAATATCTGAAAAACAGCCTAATATAAATATTTTACATAAGATGTTATGTTAAATATTGAATTTAGAGATATGGTTTTAATTAAAAATATATTTACACCGTACTCATGAATGAATTTCACATTTAAAAAAATTGTAGTACTAATGTATTTCCAAACATAATAGTATATTCTGTTATAAAATAAGTACTTGGGTTTGAACCTCATTTGGGATATTTATAGTGATGAGCATTACTTTAATTTAAACTTCACCGGAATTATTCTTAATCAACTTCACGTTGTTGGAAAACAGCAAAACAGCGTACTCGTATGCTATGATGTTGTTGCCCGAGAAACGTATCTTAAAAACACAAAAAGTATACAAAGACGTTTCCTGCGATTACATTTCGGCTACTGGTACAGAAATAGCCTTTCATGTGGTATGTATCTTGAACGTACGGGTTTTAGTTTTATTTATGTCTCAAACTTTGACTTTCGTCACACCTCTAGATACACAAGCCCGCTTGCAAAACCACAAACACGCGCGCCATCATGTGGCATCAGACTGTAACACTGTAGTGTTAATTCACTGGCGAAAATATTATGAACCTCCGGTGAAGAAGAGACTTGATACCTGTTCGTTTCATTTTGTGGTATTTTACTGTTGGATGTATTGTATAATGTGCAGCCATGGTAATGTGAATGCGATTTTTCATCTAAGGATGATGTTATGTTAGTGGAAGTAGAACAGTTCTTCTGTAGACCAAGATTCAATTGTGAATCTCTCAGGGTCGCCACACAGTGCTGTTCACTAGGTAGTGGTGAATGTTGCTACACCAAAAGGCCACCCCTCCAGCCACTGGATAATTCAACATTATCTATATTCGAAAAGGATGACATGACCTTCCCTAACAGACTCAATAACCAATCACATTAACACATGTATATCTGTTACGATATGCACCGGCTGTAGGGAGACCAGAAGGCATTTGAAAATTCTTTGGTTCATACCAACGTTTTTTGGAAAGTCTCTTATTCTTGGTGTCATGGCAACATGCTTTGGCACCAGCAACACGAACAACTCAGTTTTCAGCAGTACTAGGGGATGCAGCTGTGTCTTCATCTCAAGCAGATAAAAAGGTAAGGTTCAAAAGCACACACACTGCAGATATTTTTCAACAACATACAGCTACTAAAAGTGTCATTTACCAAAATGAAATCAATTTCACAACTTCAGAATCAACGAGAGCCACTGCCATAAGATTATTTGGTATTAGAGAGCCCCAAGGTATATGTATCTGCATTTCTGATATAATCTGAAAGTTTAAATCTGCTACAGAAACTGCTAAGCATTGACTATGCACACCTATATTTGCAGTTCAAATGAGAAACTGGAAGTGACTATTATAGTTTTGAATAGTTATTTACTTATAGCCACAAATGTGCTATCCTGGGCAGAAATGTTTCTACATAGGCATTTTTTAACTGCTGTGACTGTGGCAATTAACAGTTTATTTTTCTTTACACCACCTGAGGGAAACTACAAACAAGGATATCAACTTATCTAATTTCACGTAACAGCTTAGTTTAGCTCTCTTAAAATAATCAGAGAAATGTAAATATTCCATTTACTATTATCCTTTTTGGTTAGTCTGAAATGCGTTGGGAAAATAAAAGATATTTCCTTAGGTAAGAGGCTGGCAGATAAAGATATGAACACAAGAAGGAGCCCATTTAAGAAAAAACCTTTTACACATATGGTTTCAATGTGCTGCAAAAGACAGAAGGGAAAACGATTGTAAAAACAAATTAAAATCCTTACTCTGCCCTTACTCATCTCCATTAATCTTCTCGAGTTCCTCGTCTGATGTTTGCAATATGCTTTTTCAGTGTGTACATAGCACATACAGTATCCATTTGCAGCAAAGATAGCTAATATACTTTCATTCTTTATCACAGACTTTCCTTCTTTTCTGGAACTCCTTGTACTCTGAGCCAAAGAATCAATTTAGTATATAAATCAGACTGGTTTTAAAGACTTCAATTTTGTAAACTAGCAAGGTGATTTTCAGATGTGTGTGTTTTTTATAAATAAAAGACTGCCAACATTTTCACGCCAGATCATATACAGTACAAGATGCAATAGATTCATGGGTGAAGCATCTTTTATAACACCATTTTTAAGATGCAGAAAAGTAAAGCATTTCGTTTTACAACCTTTCTGTTGAGAACCTTTCTGGACCCAGGTGATCCATCAGGTCTCAAGAGAGCAACTGTTCTTCTGGAGTCTCTCTGCTGTGAAGATTAATTTCACTCTCTTCTGCTCTGCCTGTTCTCATTAGAAGCTGTATTCCAAACCACAACTTCAGTGATCGTCTCCCCAAATAAAGGGTAGAAAAACAACTTACAACTACAAAACCGATAACATGTTCTCCAATTATTTGTGTATGTAAAGTGTGTTAATGGATGTAGAGTATGGAAAATAATGCAGTGATCACATCCTTTTACTCTACATGGAGGGACAATGGAGGTATTTAAAATCATCTGAAGACTCATAAACACTTCAATATATTGCTTACAAATCACAGTCTTTCAAAATCGTTAGCTTTGCAACGTGTAATCTGAGAAAGAGAAAGCATGTTTCGTTTATGGGCACTTTGAAGATCAAACGTTTTTATAACGAGAAACTAATAAGTAATGATCACTTTCTGAGCTGAACGACTGATCATTACAAAATTCATGCAACAAATATTTTGATTTTAACACAAGTAAAAGGTCAATACTATCTCTCAGTATTAACCAGTTGTTTTCTAAACATGGGAAAAACATTCGAAAGCCCGTTCCTCGATATTGCATATCGCAAAACGTTTAGCAGCCCGTGCGATTATTATTCAGCGTTCTTTCCAACGAAAATACCGCATTTTCAATATATTTAAGCACATTATCACCCATCAGCATAAGGCGAAGAAGTCTGTGCAAAAGACAAAAACGGCAACTTGAAAATTGAAAAAAAAAAACCCACATTCAGCGTTTACTTTGCATACTTCTGAGAAAACTCCAACCCCTGGCATTTCGCTTCCTACTGCAAGTGTAGAAGGCTTTCGAGGAAGTGGTTTGGTCTCAGCGCAATAATTACCTTCTCCTCATCAAGGATCTTATCAGTCTCTAAGATCAGCCCTGAATGTACATGAACTATGGAAAGCCCTGCCTTCAACTGTACTCTCACCAACAACTGGTTACCCCTCGTCTTAAAGCCAACTCTTTTCATCGAGTTCATCATCGGCTGCGTGGGCAATGGACTCGCTCTCTGGGTGTTCTGTTACCGGATGAAGCCGTGGAAACCGAGCACCGTGTACCTGATCAACTTGGCTCTGGCTGACCTGCTGCTCATCTTCTGCCTGCCGTTTCGAGGGCACTACTACGTGAAGGACATAGACTGGATTTTCGGGGACCCGGGCTGCAGACTCATGCTCTTCATGGTGGCCCTGAACCGGGCGGGCAGCATCCTGTTTCTCACAGTCATAGCGCTGGACCGCTTCTTCAGGGTGGTCTACCCCCACCACCCCATCAACATGGCGTCCGTCAGAGGCACGGTCAAGGTGTCCTGTTTCACCTGGGGCCTCACCTTGGCCTTGACGTCTTACCTCGTTTTCGAACAGAAGGCCACAGAGAGGAACAACAAGACGCTCTGCGAGAGTTTCGTCTTGAACGCCGAACTTGTGGGAACCCACCTCTGGCACAACGTCTTTTTCATCGGCGAGTTCATCATCCCCGGCATCGTCATCCTGTTCTGCACCGTCTCCATCTCTGGCCAGCTCAAAACCAGGGGCATGGAAAACAACGAAAAGATCAAGAGAGCCGTGGTGGCCGTGAGGGCCGTGTCGGTGGTGTTTGTCTTCTGCTTTCTGCCCAGCAGCTTGTCCCTGATCGCGGTGATGATTGTCAAGAGCGCCAGGCACTGCCGGGCTTACCAGATCCTCGCCCAGGTGTTCTACAGCAGCCTGGCACTCACCTACTTCAACAGCATGCTGGATCCCCTGGTCTTCTACTTCTCCAGCCCGACCTTCCGCACGGCGCTGAAGGATGTCTTCACCCGTCGGACACCCCTGACTCTGCCAGGACCTCAAGAGAGAAAAAGGCGCATTCAAGATTCCGAAACCACCCCAGCATAGATCTGTGGTACTCCAAGCACAGAAAGCCCTGTGCTTGGATTATTATTATTATTATTATTATTATTATTATTAAAATAACACAGAATTTCAGTATCATTACGGGCAAAAGTAAGGAACAAAAACGATCTTGAACGCTTTTATTCGAAACTGAATTTGAAATGTGATTGATTTGGAATTGAATCCATTCATGCGCTGTGAAAGTTGCCTAGGCAAAGTCCACTCCGCGTCTGTGATTTAAACCCCAGATTCCAATCATAAATCGTCTTATTAGTCTTAATCATAAAGTCTGCATTAAAAGTCTCTCTCCCTCCTCTCTGACTCGCCCCTGAGGGCTCCGTCGGGCTGTTTGTGACTTTGCTACAATATGATACGAGATACAAGTTCGCCGAACTGTTGAAGTAAGAATGCAAATATAAGCTCTTCCCTCTTACCCTTTCGTGAGCTATTATTCTGTTGTGCTTTTGGATATTGTTTTTGTTTTGTTCGTTCTTAAGACACAAATGAAGTCGGAGAAATGGGTTCATCTCGCAGCAGGATACACGGCTGTCATCAGAAAGGAACTGCCGGCTTGGTTATATTTCGACAATGAGCCCAAGATGAGCTGAACATTGAGAAAAAGTAATAGGAGGAACACGGGCTGCTACAAAAGAAAGGTTCCGATTGTGAAACTCAAAATGAACAGCTCTCTCCTGAAGATGCTCCAAACCGAAACCTGTTTTTCCTATCTACTTAACACCCTGCTTGCTCCTTCACAAGCTTACGTTACTATATACTGCATGCTGATGTTTCTATAAATGATGTTTATAAACATTCTATCAAAATCATAAAACATTTGCTGCTTTTCTATAACTGCGGGATTTGGGTGATGGTAGCTTTATACTTTAAATGTTAAACGTAAACACAGTTAACGCTTTGTAAAGTTTGAGCTCTCAAGCGGCGATAAGCATTGCATCTGTGACTTGTAAAATTAACATTTGAATATTTCAGGGACTTAGCAACGTTACTCATTGGCTGAAGCTGCAATGGGAACTGATGTGATGTCGTGTTGAATTAATGCTTGAAAAGTGCCTCATCCACGCTTTAATTAGTTACTGTAAGGGCTGTAGGATGTTTTCAAGAGCAGGGAAAAGCAGTGTACTGAAAACTCAAAATGAGCGATTGTGAACAAGCCTCAATAAAAGAATTTTTTAAATCACCGAGACTCATTTGTCTTCATTGATCTGTACTGGAATGTAAGCTCTTTTATTCCATGCTGTCAGTCTACAGATGGACCGTTAGAAATGAACAGAACAGCAGAAAATGCCCAATATGGTGTTTTACCGTTAGAAGGCTCACATTGGGTGGTAGAGTTTAAATTGTTGCAATTCAAAAAAGAGTAGGTTTGTTAAGCGGGTGTCACCTGAAAAAGATCCGATTGTTTTGGGTCCGAACGCCACAATGCATCACGTGTACAGCTATTTGGGCTTTTTCAAGGTCAACGGCAAAACACAAACCAGAGACAAGCGGAAACTATAGGGAAGCACCTCCAGGAACTGAGAACAGGAAGCAGGTCTTTGCAGAGAGGCTTGTGGGTGCCTGGAACAAGCCAACCAGCCTTGCTGTTGAGGCCAAGAACCCGACTTCTTTCAAGAACTGGTTGAATATGACCCCCATATCAATCAGCTAACAGAAACCAAATGAGCTTAATGGGCCAGATGACCTTCTGTCCTTCTCCGGCTTGTCATCAGGGAACCCACTTACTAATAACCTCTCTTGTGATTTCATGTGGGTCATTCTTGTTCGCTTCAGCCTAAAACAGGGGTGAGACGCCAGGGCTCCTGTGCGCCTTCATTCCATGCCAACTCAAAGACTTCAAGGCCTTAATTGCTGGGATCAATGCAAAGGCAGTTCCGGAACCCGGGACACAGGCACCAGGGTTGCCTGCCTCGGGGCCGAGGAGAGTGGCTTCAATTCCCTGCGCAGGGCTGTCCAGCCCTGGTCCTGGAGAGCTGGTGTGTCTGTTCAGCTTTAACGAACCCAGACCGCTTGATAATAGTGTAACTGGACTACTTGAACAGCTCTCTGGGTTTTTCTGATTTACAGAGACCTAGAAAATCTACACCGAACTGTGTCACTTACTTACAAGGCAATTGTTTTGCTATGCAAACTAGGCCCTGGTCCAGTAAGTCATGCTCTGTTTTCAGGCCACATTGCACACTCACTGAGACAGATCCCCCTGTGTTAGTACACCGAGGCGTTGGAATTGCTTGTCCAAGTTGATCCAAACCTCTGTCTGGCTGAGCTTTACAAATAACAGCTAAAATATTTGACACAAGCAGTACATTTGAAATGCAGTATTGTATACATCTGTCTTTTATTGGTAGCTCTACATCCGATCATTTCTAATTTAAAAAGCTAATGGGGAAGCGGTTGGCAGGTGGTTCTTTTTGTGCTTAAATCTCTTCTTACCATTAGAAATTCACCTTGGGTTATCTGGCCACAGAAACAACGGAAGAACAAAGAGTAACGAGTATTGAAGAATGCAGCAGAATGAAGAAGAAAGATGGTTGCTGTCCTTGTCTAAACCCCAGTTCTGCAGAAAGTTAAGCCATTGTGTATGCAGTAAGCTAAGGGAAATCAATTGATAAAATCAGCCAACTAGGACACCCAACAGGCTCAATTTGCATATGAAGTTAGGAAAGAGACTTTCGGACTTCTCATTTTATCACAACATCACGAAAATGAAAGCAACTCGCTCTTTCTAAAAGGCCTTGCAGAGTAGCAGCAAATGTAACATTGGTCCAGTCCAGCTTTTTAAAATGACTACCGTGTGCTCTGAGAGATCTGATCGGGCTAGTAAGAGACTAATATGCACATGATTAGAATCATAACATAAACAGTTAAGAAACTAACCTTTTATAACTGCTGGAATGCTTAAGTTACATTTGGGAAAAGTGGCAAAGGTTTTAAAACAGTAAGAATACCACAGTTTTCATCCACATAAACCTCTAGTCTGCCTTCATTAGCATGTGAAGCATGTTAATAATTACACAAATGTCACCGTGCACTTATGCCAACACTAAACATGTTTATTAGTTTCTTGTCGGTGCAATAAACTGTCCACTCTGAAGAACTGGCTGTAGAACAGCGGGTGTAAAGATACACCAAGAGGATATAGTGCATTCCTGCGCTATTTGTAACATGGTTTCCTTCTTAGGATGTTAGTTTCCATTCAAATCAAGTACAATGGCTTTTCATAGAGAAATATGCCTAATTCCCCAGGCAGCTGGTTCTAGTGCTTATGGAACATAAACAAGGGAGCCACACCCTTAGGTGCTCTTGAGAGTCACCCGTGAGACTAAAGCTTCCCATCTGGGTGTCATTCTGTGAAACGAGGTTAAAAAAAAACCTCGGCGCCCTTCGAAAGTCATTTGCATGGGAACAAAAGGCGAGATCCAGGGCGATGCACACATAGGTGCAGCCGCACAGATCAGGGTCTGAAGCTGCTGCCTGCAAAGACAGAGGCTGTAGGCGTGCCAGCCCCCGAAGGGTATCGCAGGGATGGCGAACGTCTCCTGCTGCGCGTTCGAGGAGCCAATCCTGGACCTGGTCCTGCCGCCCGTGCTCCTGCTGGAGTTCGTGTTCGGCCTGCTGGGCAACGCGGTGGCCCTGTGGATGTTCGTCTTCCACATGGACACGTGGAAGCCGAACAGCGTCTACCTCACGCACCTGGCGGTGGCGGACACGCTCGTGCTCTTCTGCCTCCCCTTCAGAGCCGTCTACTACCTGCGGGGCAAGCACTGGATGTACGGCGACATCCTGTGCCGGATTCTGCTCTTCCTGCTGGCCGCCAACAGGGCGGCGGGCATCTTCTTCCTGACGGCGGTGGCGGTGGACCGCTACCTGAAGATCGTGCACCCGCTGAGCCGCATCAACCGGCTGGGCCTGAGGTATGCGCTGTGCGTCTCCTGCGGACTGTGGGTGCTCATCGTGTCCATGACCGCTTACCTCCTCACCGAGCCCCACTTCTTCCTGCAGAACAACCGCACGCAGTGCGAGAGCTTCAACATCTGCCCGGGAAACAACCCCATGGCCACCTGGCACAACGTCTTCTACGTCATACAGTATTGCATCCCCGTGGTCATCGTGTCCTTCTGCACCATCTGCGTCACCCTGCAGCTGAAGACGAAGACGAAGGACACCCAGGGCAAGATCAGGAGGGCGGTGAACTTCATCCTGGCCGTGGCCCTGGTGTTCTTCTTCTGCTTCTTCCCCAGCAGCATGTCTCGGATCTCCGTGTGGGTCCTGCAGGCAAAGCACACGGACTGCAGCTACTTCAGGGAGGCCAACCTGGCTTTTTACACCTCTGTGTGCTTCACCTACTTCAACAGCGTACTCAATCCCCTGGTCTACTATTTCTCCAGCCCCTCGTTCAGCGGGCTGTTTCAGAAGCAGTTCAACAAGCTGTTCTGTAGGAAGACGCCAGAGGAGAATCATCGGCCGCCTGAAAACACAAACGTCGCCACTGCATCTACTGGCGATATATAAGAGCAGGTAATACAATACTGATTTGTTTAAGACCAGGGATTACGGTTCGTTAAAATCAATTTCCTGAAGAAAATAAATCCTGGCATATCTACAGTAGGTGTTTCATTGACTCTGGTGATTTAAAACATGACGCCTTTGGCCATGTGGTGTTTTTTATCCTGCTGTTTTTACAACATGACAATGGTACAGGCCGAGTTCCAAAAACATTTGCAAATGCAGAAAGCACTGTACAAGTTGCATAAGGCAGAGGTCTAATATTAACAAAGATTAGAACACAAAACCCTACGATAAGGTAACAACAAACAAGAAAGATTGTGAGTCCTGAGTTTCAGCACGTTTAAACTTGGCAAGAAAAAAAGAAACCAGAATTTAAAGTCTGTTCCGAATTTGAGATAGACATTGCAGTCACGCAATCTTTAAAGCATTAAGTGAAGAAAACAAGTTGAGCTACAAGAACCAACGTTTACTTTTTATGAAATAAAATGGGGGATAACTGATTCTGATTGCAAGATATACAGAAGGCAAGAAACATTATTGAAGCTTAATATATGCTGCAAATAAAGGTGAAGCACTTTGAAATGAGTGACAGTAATGTCCTTTGGTGGAAATGTAACAGATGTGTGCATATAAAACTGCATCAGTCTTTCTGGTACTCATGTCTAATGGCTCAGGTGATTATCATCAATTACAAACCTATTTCTTGCATCAAAATTCAGCAAAGCTCATTTACAAACAGCTGATGACATTATTAGAAGCTGTAAACTTTTCGTATGAAATGATATAACAGCAATGGTAAACTAGAAAATGGAAAACAGTTAAGAAGTCCAAATTTAAGCTGCAGTTCCAGACCTAAAAGAAAACATTTGTCCTAGTGGACTAGGGTGCTTTGAACTGAATATAAACGGATAGTAAAAAGGCAAAAAAAATGGGTGGAGGTTGTTTAACTGGATAAAAAACACCATGAGCATTAATTATGTCCCTTTAGCAATTAGGCTGTGGGAATCACCTAGGGCTCTGTATATGGGATGTTGTTATGTAGTCTTACATCAATAGATCTAGCTGGTTTCTCCTGGAGCCTAACTTACAGATGCATGACAGTGGAGTTGTGTAGGTTTCTGTAAAAATAAGTTGAAAGACCACTAGTACGTCATGAAATGTTATCAAAGTAACCGATTTGTCTGATTGTCCCCAGCCTGCTTATCAATTGTATAATGAACAATCATGTTATACTGTGTAATGCATAAAACTACACATTAAATATTATAAAGTATGAACTGAATATGTAAAATAAATAATAAATCATCTTTTTCCCCACATTGTTTGCAGATGGTGGTTCTTCACCACCACTGAAGGAATTTCTAAAATTCATTCCAGATTACAACAAAGTGTTAAAACTAACTGCACAGTAACAAGAGGGCAACTCAATACTATATAAATTTCCACTCAATAAAGCCTTTTAAACCTCTCAAACGTGTGTGATTTTAAGAACAAAAAAGTTAAAGCAAAGGCTGGATCATTAGTCACAGATAACCCTATTATTGTGCTTTGAAATCTCAGTTAAGTATGAAATCTGGCAAACCAGAAGACTGTGATATTTACTGTACTGTAGTTATTAGAACAGGAGCAGCATGATGGTATTTTACACAGCACTGTTTAGCTATGCATTTGTTTAAAGGGAACTGTAGCACTGATTATGCAAACAGCTGAATTTACTTACAAAAATGTCTATTGTAGATTATGTGCTGAGTGTTGGTTTCTATATTTTTTTTCTTCTGTGTTTGTAGTTATTTCTCTTATCTCATGAAAAGTAGCATCTACCTGAATACAGGTACAACATGACTAAAAATGTTGTGAATGTTACAAAAGTGTACATGCAGATTCTGTCAAATAAAACTACCTCTATAACATGTATGATTTTGTGAATATAATGGCTTTTACGACAAATTGATATACAAAACCACACCAAAAAAGCATTAAACATTGTGGCTTGTTCATTATTTAGTGTCAAATGCAAATTAAACATACACTACAGAATTGAACTTCTAGTACAAAGAGCAGAGAGGTAAATACAGCATGGTAGACTTAAAACTGTAACACCTGATCTAGTGCCAGTCCAGTTTCAATTGAAAATTTAACGATAAATTAATTCCAAACACAATACAATTATACATTTTTTAATTAGTTTTTAAGTTTTTAATTAGGTTCAACGTGACTATACATACAGATTCACAATGACGATTATAGTAAAAGCTTTCATGCATTACAAGCATCTATTTTTCCAATCTATTTTAGACTCTGAAAAGAAAGAATTGGCACGGAAACTTGGAACAAGAAAACAAATGATTGAGATATTCAAATGTTGACATAGAATTTTTTTTGAATACCTGCCAAGTTCAAAAGTAACCCATATAATAAAATATTCAAACCATATTAAAATTCACTGACTGCATTGTGTTACAGAAATGAAACAGCGTGGTTCAAATACACACATTACATGTCCAATGTTATTAGAGTGGAATTGTTACATATCTTGCCATAGGAAGATATAGAAGATCAGAAGTGCCCATGGTCTTTGCGCTGCACAATCTACTTCCATCATCCCTCATAATTCTTCAGGAACTCCTGTAAAGTATCAGAAATATGATGATCAAACCACATTTGTCATGAACTTTCCTCTTGAAATAAAGCCATTTTTTTAAAAATATAATTGACGAGGTTCAGAAGAGATTGCTGATACGGCCAAAGTCAGAACAGGTGAAAATCTTTTTTTTTTTTATGGTCTTCTGTTGGTAAAACCTGTTTGTAAAAAAAAATGTTTCATTTGTGTAAAATATTCATGCTGCACAGAAAGGAAACAGCATTCCCTCTAGAACAAAACCAAGAGGAAGCACCTAAAAATCTACCACTTGCACTGCTTATAAAAATGAGAAGGCACACTGAAGCCAAGTTCACATCCTACTGCGATGCAAGATTAACAAGGGCGTGCATCTTTTGTGCAGAATGTAGTTAGAAAAGATCATCTTGGTGGGGCCTTTGTCACGTTCAGAACTACACCAGTTACCTGCAAAACCTCAAGGGCAGTCATGTTGGCGGGCACGTGCTTCCCCCTGAGCTTCATATGGTCGGCAGCCAGAGTGGCGGCATCATCAAGGCTGTAGAGGAGAAATCGCAGGAGGTCAGATTACATTTCGCCACACAGAAAACAGTGGGGGACTCTGGCGGGCTCCGACAATGCCGATGTTAAAACAACAGCAGCAGCCTCTTTCCTAGTGATGGTTCTGTTGGTGCTTTAGGTATTTCCATAAAAACACACAAGAGGTTCAGCAGCCTCTGGGCTTACGTGCAAAACACCTGGGAACTCGCATTGGCCCGAAAAAGCAGGAAGTTACGGTTAATTAGAACACCAATGCAAGAAAGAAGGATACGATGGGTGTTGGTTGTCTTGAGGGACCTACCGGTTGCTGTTTACGAGGTAGTCCATGAGATCCTTCACCTGGTTTGTTACTATCACATGGTGCTTCAGCAGAGGAAACAGCTTGCTACTCACAATCTTCTCATAAAGCTTATTTCTGCACATGAAGTTCAACACCATGTCTTTAATCTGAAAACGGTAAAACAAATGGGGGTATACAGGGATTTATGAGACAGCATAAATGATTTTAACATTGAATGCAGAAAAACATACTTCACGAGGGCGGTTCACTGCTCAATAATCACTGTATCAAGCACACACTAAAATTATCAAAGGCTAACAAAAACAGTATAGTGCAAGTACAGTAACAAGCTCTAGATCATATTATGGGAATTTCGAGTAGCGGCATGAGGGGAACTACATAAATAAAAAGAAATACAGGAAGTCATCTTTAAAAAAAAAAGTGGAAAGTACAAAACATATCATCCTGCACCATACACATTCTGGAAGACAATACTCACCTGAGTCGAAAACCCAGCTACTTCTCCAGTGTTCATGTGCTCCTCTACTTGCTGAAGAACTGTGACCAGATTACTGGATGACAGGAAGCCCTGTGGGAAAAGCAATGTTCTTTCAGTCCTGCCAAACAGGTTAATTTACTCTTTACAGCTGGTCTAATTAAGGTGTGGGTTCATACTCTGACCTTTCAAAATCTCTTAGCTAAATCCCAAATCTTATGCTGTTGGAATCAAGTGGTCTTTCCTTTCTATGGACATTTGGAATGACTCCAAATGGCCATAGAAAGGAAAGACCACTTGATCTCCTTACAGATATTTCAGCTGCTCAAAATGGATCAAGCTGGCAGCTCTTCTTTGCTCCCATTGTGACCAGATTCCTATCTGCCTTGTGTTTACGTAGATGCACAGTGTTTTCCGTTATCACTCTCTTCTATCTGTATATCCAAATATTTTGTGGGAATTAATGTTTTTTTACAAGAAGTGAACAGTGTGGTGGTTTCCCCACAAACAGGTCATCAAAGAGAAATTAAAGTATTGTTTCCTTAATGCATCATGTGTCTAAGAAATAAAATTACTTTACACAAGAGCCACTGAACAATGGCTTTTGGCCAGGTGAGGTGAGATTGCCTGAGATGCCAACCAAAACCAAAACAGACTTGATTATACTGAGAGATCCAGGCTTTGCTCTTACTTGGACTTGCTGCTCCTTTTTCTCAGAGCATGGAATCAGCAGAAGAGAGCCCAGAGTAAAGGCTGGCAGGTCAAACTGAGCAAACTGCTTTGCAATGCCAATCAAGTCTAGATCAAAAAGGACTGGGCACCTGCAGGCAAAGGACATGCAATGTAACATCTCTGCAATCTGGCTTTCACCTACAGTACATACCATCTGGTTTATGCCATCGAACAATGAAATGAGGACCAAAGTCAACTGTCTGTTACACTGATAGGGAGTAATGGTTTTAGAACAAAGAAAACTTTTCAGCAACACACTTTTTTTTGAGAAATCAAAGACAGACATGTTATCTCTTTATCTAGTACCTTTCCAGGGCTCAATTCCAGGTAGTCAATGTGTTTAGAAAACTTACTTAATGTGGTTATAGAACTTACTTGAGAAGAAGAACAAAGGTCTGATAGAACATTTCTAGTTGTTGAGGGCTGAGGGGAATAGAGGCTGAAATTCAATGGAAAAAAGAAAAAAAAAAGCATGACTTTCTTCTGTTTAGGACACGTACATAGTTAAGCAGTACAAGCTATGTAATTAGTTTAAGATGCACAATTTGCATAATTGCTCTCAAGAGTGTGCCAGTAGTTAAGGAAATAATGGGTTTGCTCTGTGGTGTCTAATGAAGACAGTATGTCATTTAAAAACTTTTAGAGGTCTTTCTTCAGCTATATGTATTTTGCAAAAAAATAAACACTGCAGGTAAGGAAAATAAATTTTGAATGTACAATATGACTTGTACAAACTGTCAACCAAGAAAAAGAAAAAATGAACATAATAAGTGGAAAACCATCCCATTAAGTCACCTACCGGAGAGAAAAGGAGCCAAGATGACACTCTTCCAGGCTCTGATGAAATTAGGAACCTTTAACAGAAAAAAACACCTTTTACAGTAAGGTACCAGTTTAACATGAACCACTGCATTTAAAAATTGCAGGGATTACCGAGATGAAAAAACTACCTATACTTACCTGCCATAAAGAATGAACCGCAGTTAAGGCCACTAAAACTTTCCGCAAGTAACAGGTCTGAAAAATAAATCTGGTTAGATTCTCATGGGGACTATTAAAATGACTGTGGAAATGGTGGAACTTTACAGGTCATCAGTAGGTGTCAGAGTGAGATTTTTAATTTATGTTCTTTCATCTAGGACACAAACTTATTGGCGTATAAGGCAAATACCAGAGAATTGGCATCACATTATGTCTAAAAACAAAATCCTAGTATCACTCCCATTTATTTTCATTTAAACAAAGACTCATTAGATTCCTTCAATGCTGGTGACATCTTCAGTCTTTATTGGGCTCATAAGAAATGTACAGGACTATTAATCCTTATTAACTATGTGTTTACTAGATGCTGAGCAAAATACTTTTGAAGGATGAGGATCTAATCTTTCCTCACCATCACGACAATAAGACTCTGAATGCAGGAACAAATGTGAATTAAACTAATGATTTGAAGTCATGAAGTTTGCCCTTTTGTGATACATGTAGCTGCTAGAGCCTTGATGCATTGGGACACTTACCATGCTGAAACTGATCAGCTTTTGTAACACCCCGTTCCAGAGCTGAGGGTCATACACCTGGTACTCTAAACTCAGCTCTGCTACAAGCCTGACCGCCTGTGGGAGGAACACAGACGAAGCTGATGTCAGAGAAGAGATACATGACCCCCACAATGCACAGCATGTCATACATCTGTACTCAAATCTGCAGTTTTAACTTTTCTGCTGTCTGATAATCTGCCTGAATCACTTTGTATTTGATACCTCTTCTCATTTCAGGGTAATGCAGATGCTTAGCAGTGTTCTGCTTAACTCTCTGGGCCAAATCCTCAGCAAGTCTGCACCAATACTTAAGAGAGCATGGATCTGGTCTTTCGGCTCGCCAGCACTCCTACCCGGGGCTCGTGGCTGTGGTTCTTCCACAGTCCTTTGATCATGCCCTCCTTCGGGCTGCTGTGAAACGACTCCACAGTGTAGGGAATGTTCAGGACTTCAAACTCCGAGAGGTAGATGCAGTACTTCAGGTAGTGTCTGCAACAATGGGGAACAACACTCTAAGCACCTCATAGGGATGCATTTACTCCACTGAAGATCACATTTTCCAAAGAAATAAACTTATGCAAAAACAAATGAAGTAAACATTAATTTTAGACTCAATTCTAGGTTTTCGCTGAAATGCGACATAAGTTGAAATGACAGGGGTGCAACAGTGCCTCGCAATAGGTGCAATGGGCATGTTGAAGAAAGAAAAAAATAAATGCACATGAAATGGAAAAAGGATCTACTTGATTTTTTCAATAGACGTTTTGAGGAGGGACTCCAGAGTTTTCGTGTCGGCAATTTGGATGAGGCACATCAGCGCCCGGCTTCTGTTTCCAAAAGTCAGTCGAGGGCCGGAGTTGGATATGGGCTGGATTATAGAGAAACAAAAATCATTTGTACACACACACACGCACATTCTACAGAAGCTGAAGCTGTGATGTGGTGTTCTTGTTTTCTAGAAAAAAAAAAATCTCAGCCTATATAAATGAACTGGTTCTGTAAATTAAGCTTGATTGTGACTTACGGAAACTTCTGCAGTAACAATGGCGTACAGCATTCGTGCACTGAAGTCCATGGGGTACATCTGGAGCAAGTAGATGACTCTGGGAGAATTTCAAAAGACAAACATGGCAGGTGCCCTTAAATGACCTCTGCTGCAGCAAACAGGTGTTTTGTTTGGTTTCGCCCCCTTGCGTCAATGCTCAAACTCAAAAGCTGGGGAGTGTGATGGAAAACAAAAAGCCTCAATTGGAGATGATTTGAATAAAGTAAAATTGTAAAAGGATCTCCACAGTTTCCACTGCACACCCCACCCCTCTCAGTTTCCACTTAGGTCTAAACCAAGCCAGATGCACAGTAGATTCTCATGGTAAATATAACCACATCTTCTGTTACTTTACATGAGAAAATACGTTCATTAATAAACCACGAGGCATCTTTTCTGGAATGGCAGGATTCTTGGAATAGTCTGTACCCAAAACAGCCCGTCTCAGAGATATTCAAAAAGCCCTATAAGATCAACAAGCCACAAACAACCCAGTCAGGAAAAGGCAAGAACAGTAACAGGCCTTATGTCCTTCAGCTTGTACAGAAATGAAATACAAACTGGACCCAGGTGTTTTTCTCTCAGTTTTCATGTTATATAGTCACCCTGTAGAATGATAAAAAAATCTTTCAAAAACTGTGCTTTTACTCATCTATGCAGTGCTGTTTTTAGTTCTCAGCAGGCTGAGAAGACAAACACAGCTGACAACTGTACCTCATGAGTTCTGGGTCTTCCTGGATGTCGGTGACATAGTGCTGGGTGTTATTATCCTAATAAGAAAGAGATCCATGTTAAGAAACCTCAGAATCTTTTATCCAAAATACAATCTAGAAATAAAGAACAGATTCGTGACAAGCTACTTCATTACTGAGGGCGTTCTAGGAACTGCATACTCTCTCCTATCTCAGGGGATGGGACCAAGCAAATATATTTTCACACAAGCAAAAACCTCAGGAGAACACATTTAATTTTTGTTTAGTCACTCCTTAATACAAGTCCCTTGAGAACAAATACTGCCATCAGGGAGTTAATAATCTCTTGAAACAGAACAACTGCAATACGAACCCAAAACCTCTCTTACATTACAAATAAACCATCTATGCTTTAAAAAAAACAAACATTGTCTTGGAATGGGCCTTCAATGGGGTAGCTGGTGGATGGTAGACAGTAGCAAACTGCGTTACATAAGAATGTAGTCAGGGAGATAGAAGCTTTTTTAGTGCGATAGCTACGGAAAAAATACTAGTGTGTTACGAGAATGATGTCATACTGAAACTGGTACTCACTTTTACTGCAGGCGCTGTGCTTTGACACAGCCATTTGTCCAGCAGCAAATCCCTGATTTTGCTTAAATCGATGTTGTTTATTGATGCGATTTCTCTGGCCACGGCATGTATGTCTCAAAGAAAAAACAAAACAATTGAAATGTGTTCTGTTAACAAAATTACATTTTGTAAATGCTTCTTTTCACTCCTTAAAGCTCTGCATGTTTCTTTTTTTCCCCCCTGTTCAGAGTCACCAATAGTTTGTCCACTCAGCTTTACCACCATGACCTGTTTCATGCTTCTTCAAAACCGAAATTGTGCCTTTCCTAATTTTGAGATCTTCCAAAAGGAGGTGCACAAAATATCTGTCAAGTTAAATTACCGGGGTAGTTTCTGCCTGCGGGATTCTTTAGCCGCTGTTCAATGCTGCTGTGCTCATAGAGGGAGACGATGAGTTTGGCAGGGAAACCGGTGGACTTCAAATACTCGGGAGAGTTTAAATGGTACGATATGAGCGTATTCTCTGTAGCTGACCGCTGGTATTGCAGTTTGAGCTTCTCCAAAAATATTTCCGCTTTTGCGTGAGCTGGATCCTGTGTGTGTGTGGGGGGGGAGAAAATAATGTAATATTAAAAATAATTTAAAAGCAACTTTCCCTTTATGGTCAGAAAAATGACAGGAGGCTGGTCTCACAATAAATATTTAGCGAGTGATGAAATTAGGAGACGGCGAAGATCTGTTACAGGTTGGATGTAAATGGTTTGCCGTAAGCTGTGAAAGACACCGAGGATATTCTTTGTGGAATTGCAAGGCAGAATTAGCAATATTCTCCTGAGTGTCACTGCCATTTGGTTTTCCTTAAGGCACACACCTTTAAGAGTTGTTACAAAAAACTATACACAAAATGAAGTTCAAACCTCAGGGCTTGAAGTCTTCAGCCATTTCTCTGCTAGAAGCAAGCAGAAGTTCAAGGAGGTAGTCTTAAGGATACCTGTGGGAGAAGTGTTTAGTTTTTTTTAATGAAAAGGCAGTAGAAGGTGCTTCTGGAAAAATACTAGGACACAAAAAACAGTTTAGTGGTATTAACTCTCAAACAGCAAAGGCAAATCTACAGAAAAGTATATGCTATATTTCAGCTACTCTATCGCAGGGTGCAGCATCTCTTGATTAGTGAACCACATCCATCTTAGTTTCATTACACCAAAAAATGTTCAAGTCACATGTTCAAAGGCCCCACAAGTCACTTAACCTACGTAAACCATATCCAATAACGCATTCTTACATAAACATTGCACTAAAAAAGAAAACCACAATATCAGGCCATACTGTCAAACATGTCAAATCCAAATCGTGGGATGTTATAATGGTACAGTGCTCTCGCTGGGCCTCATTTGCAATATCGTCTTGAAGAAAGAAGACTATGAGGCGATTTGAAACAAGTAAAGCACTGTCACTTCAAAGGCACTGTCATACTAAACCCAACGGATTTCTTCAGACTGAACACTAATACATGAACCAGGACGCACACCAACGGTATGTGACGTACTTTCAAAACCTAGACTAGGAGGCACGTCTTGACCCAAAGAGTTATGGGAGTAACCCTTGGGGTAGGAGCCGATGAGATCCTGGGATCAATAAGCTACTATCAGCAGGCCAGACAGGCCAAATGGCCTGCAGTTGCTATCTGACCTTCTTATGCAGAGCATGCGTAGATGGATAAGGAGGCTGTGTCAAGCCAGGGTTTGCTGAGGAGTAATGGCAACTCTGTCTGGAACTGACCTGTGGGCAGCTCCTGAGCAATCTTGTGAGCTGCAGCTGCAGCCCATTCAGGGTTTTTAATAGACAAAAGGTAGGTCTTGATGGTTTCCATTGTCTTTATGGTTTCTTTGGTCATCACATGAGGCTTTCTTCCATTAGACGGCTTCAGAGACTGAGGCTTCAGTCTTTTGTCAAAGACATGATTGACTGCTGACATATAAAGTTTATCTAAGCACACCTAAAAAATGTTAAAAGCAAGAAAGCAAATAAGTTCAGAGGAAATGAAAACAAAAAAAAATACAAGAGACTATACAAAAGATAACTTGGAAGAGAAAAGCAAACAAGCAACTGAAAGGTTTTATTAAGAAACCAAACGTTCAATGGCCACACACTCAAAATCACAGCCCACATACACATCAACTCTCACATTGCACACAAGAAAAAAATCACAACTTACCTTCATCAGTTTAGATATGAGGAGCAGTGTGGGAAAAGTCTCTTCACTGAGCTCAGCAGCTGATATCATTGAAATACAAAAACAAAAACAAATTGAAGCAACCCTGGAGGTAAGAGATTCATGCCTGCGTGAACATTTTTGGGGGAGGGGAGGCTCCCTGTTCTGTAGTTAGTGGATACAACTATGAACATTTCTTAAAGGACCTGAACAACCTTGACTTGTGCAATAATTGTTCATTTATCCATTGATATCCTGAGGCATGTGTCCCCAGAAACAGATACTAAAACCTCATCTGAGACAGCAAAGGTAAAAAGAAAATGACACTGTATTCCCTGTATTTGGTAATTACACTTAAAATGACAGAATTTAAAAATGAAAGTGACTGAAAGAGGTTTTATTAGAAATGCAACTGGACACTAGCTAGTTGGAGTCTCACGAGATCTTACTTACAGATAATCTTCCAAAAGTAGAGAGAGGTCTTAAAGAAGATGAGGTGAAATGGCAGCCTAGTGTGTGTAAGAGGAGAGCGCGGCAAGGAATTCTCCTGCAGGTATTGGTGCTCTATATCCATAGGTGTAGAGACGCGCTTGTAGGACTTCAGGTGCTGCAGCAATCCTAATGCCTAAAGAAACACACAAGAGACGTGCTTCAGATTCACACTCATGTCTGTTGGGGGGGGTGTTTTTTTTAATCTGTATTATTCACAGTATATACTGTTCCAGCTTAATTTTGATCACATTCTTAACTTAAATAAAAAGGTTAGCTAAGAGCTTGCACTATTCTTATACAGTGTTATTACTTTAAAAACCCTAAAGGCTAAAAAATGTAAAGGTAATAAAAGTGTTGAAGACAACGCTTCAGGAAAAAAAAACACTTTTATACATAACCACTTCTAATTTTAAGACGGTCTAAGTATTTTCTTCACCTGATCAAGGTGAAAACTTGTGATTTTTTCATCCGTGGTCTGGATTACTCTAAGAATGCCTTCAATTGTTTCGTAATCATAAGGGCTGAGCTGTAAATGAAAGAAAACACACAAGAATTTTACATGGCGAATGCACATGAATGAAAGAGTCCATTGCAATACTTAAAATAAATCAAAAGGACATTAAATCTTCTGATGTTAGACTGCGATGAGGATGTCATAAGCACAAGCAGTGACCTGACCTTGATGATGGCTGTATTTAGGCTGATGACAAGCTCATTTGCACTTTTGAGCAGAGGGATAATTTTGAGGGCTCTGGCCAGGGCATCACTGTGGTCCAGAGTGCTGCCGATGTCTGTTGCTGGCTCATCTTCACTCTGATCAATGCTTGTACCATGAAGCAGAAGAGTCTTAATGTACAGATTTAAGGTAGAATCAGTCTCTAGGTTAAATGTGCTGAAAGAAAAAAAAAGCAGTCATGTTATTATAAACAACAGCATTCACTACACTTACAAACCATCAAATAACAACCCAGATTTAACTCTTTAAAAACATTTAACCTGGACGCATGCAAAATAATTTACATACTGAAAGGCCTTTGTTAACAAGCTAAATGTTAAATATAACTCAAACCGATATATTGCTCGTTAAAAAAAAGATTTTTACCGGCAGTATTTTAATATTAATTCAGAGTTGACATTCCGGTTCTTCACTAGAGTAGAAATCAGGTCCCTCTTCTTCTCAGGAGTCTGTCTGAATACAGCCTGGAAAGAAATCTGTTAAAAAAATGTTCTGGTTAAATGGTACTAAGAGATTAACAGGGTGATTTGCAAAACTGCATTTTAGAGTGAATCTTGTTCCTGACCTTCTGATAATAATAGTGGGAGTGCTACTAAACCACTTCAACATTATCTAAAACTTAATGCATATCTGTCTGGGATTGCTTCAGTGCTCCTTTGAAATATAGCCATGATTCAATGACTGATTGCAATAGTACACGAAAGGCCAAACCACTATGCTCTACAATAATAAAAGCAACACTGCCAAATGCATATACTGTAGCTGCAGTCAGAAAAAAAAAACATAAATATGAAAAACTAAAGTTCACTTGGGTGATCTGAATGCCCAAGAAGGAGCTTTAGATGAATGTCCCCAGAAGCAGCATGGACCTTCATCTAAATAATGCAATCTTCTGAACAGACGGATTGAATGTGCAGAAATGAGCCTGTTAACTACTCCGCAGGCACGTAGATAACCAGTTTCTCCACTTGTTCTCAACACTCAAAATGTCAGGCGTATACGTACACCCAGCTTCCCCAGCTCGATGCCCCACTCAGCATCAGCAATCAAGGACAGGAATTTCTGGTGTTCCTCCCCTTCTCCATACAAAACGGAGAGGTGGGCACCTATAGCAGCCACAGCCTAAAGGAAGAAAACAGCATTTCACATCTGCTCTGCAGCAGAGCTCCTCCTAGCACTACTTCAAAAAGAGACGCTTAGTCTGTTTTCACTTCAAATTGTAATTTTCTTAGATAGCTTTTGTGTTGCATGCCTGCCAACTTTTGCACCATCTACTTGTCTGTCAGAAAGCTACCTCTTCTGATAAGAGTCACAGCGGGCCTGTCAGAGGTTAAGGGTGCTACGTGGGACTGAGAGCACACAGCTGACCTTACCCTAGGAAGGAAGTACATCAAACTGCCACAGAGACAGGGCAGTTTAGAAAACAAATCAGATCTAGCAAGCATGTTTTAAAAGGGTGGAAAGAAACCAGTGCACCTACTACACATCCATATGAATTAAGACAGAACATGCAGATGCCACATAGACTGATGCCCAAGGCTGGAGTTGAACCCAGACTTCAGCAGGCTGTGAAGCACTAAACACCATGCTGGCACTCACTTTATAGTATATCTTAAACAATTACCAGAATTTTGTTGTAGTTTTGCCAAGTGTTGTTGATTACGTGCCAGAGTTTTTCAAACACATCTTTCTTTGGTAACAGACAGCAGTACCCTATGGCCAGGTCACAGTCCACCACTCTGCAGTTAAACACCTTCATCATGATGGGGGAAAAAAAGTTAGAAATAATAAAACAGATGTGATGAAACTCATAACGTTTATCAACTCCCATCTGGAGGCTTTCTTCAAGCTTGCAGAATGAGACATTTTGAAAAGACACACAAAATAAATCACATTTAAGAACAGATTAAACTGACAGACCTTGATCAAACTGCCAATTGCAAGTCACAAACCAAGTATTTGATGGTAGGTTTCCATTGGTTAGAATGAAGAAGCCCATGACAATTAAAAGCTGGGCTTGTAATTTTCAATCAATCATGTGGAAGACATTTCTGACATAAGCGGTATTTGAAACATGGAGACAAACAGTTGTATCAGCCAACATATCAGACAGAAAGACTAGAGATCACAGTTGGAGATTTCCTTATAATTTACTTTTTAAATCATTTTAAAGACTATAAAAACTATATCAAAATTCTTTATAATAAAATGAACTATGTAACCATATTCTCACCTTATGCAATAAAGCCAAAGAAACATCTTTGATGACAGAGATGGTCCTCTCGCCCAGTGACACCACAAAGTTTCTGTCTTCAAGGAGATGCTGAAGATCATGCAGCTAAAATGAAGGGGACTTACTGATGAGGGTTTTGACTTCCCACAGAACTTGAGCTTTTAAATATAAATACAATCTGCTTAATTTTAAATTAACTATTTGACACTTATAAGTACTTGAGTGCTTTTGCAAGGTTTGCATGTTTCTTGTGTACTGTCATAGCTCAAGCCATAAAAAAAGAAGTTAACTTTATGCTTAGCTCAGACCTGGATATGAGGCAATACTTGCTTGACAAGTGAACGAAAGGGTTTGTATTTTCTGCACTTCGTACGAAGCTTAAAGGGAGTCAGTCCAGAAGACTGCACATCACGGTGCAGAACCACGCACCTTGGAGCTCAGAGTCAAATCCATGTTGTTAGATGTGATGTGCTGCAGACACGTCCCAAAACAGTTCATCATCAGCCTCAAGGCCAGCTCCAGTTGGCTGCACTCATGTAGGTTCTGAACCATCTCATTAATGGGGCCCTTGATTTGCCTGAGGTGGTTTTTACCTTCAGGGGAAGACAAAACAAAGGTCAGATGCACCCAAAAAGTTGAAAACTCACTTCAGACAACTGCGAACATCATGGACTATAAAAGAATAACGAATCTTAAAAATATGCTACCACGTGTCATGAAAGTGTACTGATGCCATTTAAAACCTTATCAGAATAAGGTTTAGGACTGTAACCAGTATGAAAGGCTTCCTGTTACCTTCAGTATAAGAGCAGTTGGACAAGCAGGAACAATCCAAAGGATAAAGCTTTGAATCTAAAAGAAGAAAATCAACAATAATTCAGAATACAACACAAAACACCCATTACCTATCAACGTACTTCTATAGTAACATTAATATATTAGTATATGTTAATAACAAAATAATACAAATGACAATGTTACTGGTGTTATTGTGCAGTATTTTACATAAAAAGTATGCCTTTAAAGAGGCATCATCAATGAGGAGCGTTCAGAATGCCATACCCTCTGAATGGGGTACAAAGCTAGTAGTAATTTTGTACAGAACAGGCAGCACTGTTATGGGATCTAGAACTATGCCGTCCTCATTGAAGAAATCCTCAAAGGTCCACTCTCCATAGGGATCCCTGTCAGTCCCCAAAGAAGAGGTCTGCAAACAGAAAGAGAGACCATGACAGCTACTACACAGTCTTAAAAAAATAAAAAGCCAGTAGGGAGTGGAATTACTGTAAAGATAAGAAGCAAATCTTGTGCAGTGAAAGCCCATTACATGCAACTCTACTGAGCACCAAGAAAGAAAATGTACCCCATTTATCCATGTTCTTACAAAAAGTATAGGTACAGGTAATTGTCTTAATGTTTTTGGCGTCTCCTCACCTTTGAGATGAAGCCATAGTCATCTATCTGACACTGCCTGTACACATCCATGGCAGCTAAGGTGTTTTTGCAGAGTTCCTGGCAGTCGAGTAACAGGTCTGCAAAAAGCCAAGCTTGATGATCAATATTAACTTTAAGGTTATTAACGTTAAGTTTAAATCTGAATAGTACATAAAAGCATTTATCTTGGTTGTTTTTATACTTTATACTTCATGCAATTCAGCTTAAGATATTTAAAAAAATACACTGAACAATCACATTAGCAATGCAAAAGTTATCTATGATGAACATACAGTAGTTGGCAGCTCACAGTCCATAACCAGACAGACAGAGGTACCTGCACTACATATAGTGGCTGCCTGACAGGCCAACTCATAGATCACAGCCGGAAGATTCATTCCATCAGGGATTATCATAGGCGTGTTGGCTTTCAGCATCTGGCAGAGGTCCCGTGCAGCATTGAATAGCACTTGCCCAGTCTTCTCATTACAGTGATGTTGATACAATTCGCTGGAATTAGAACAAGAGGGTGCGGCACAGTGAGGTTTTGTTCTCCGGTCATGGCGAGACTGTGCCCCGAGACGTATTATTCCCAGCAGGTCATATGGCAAATTCTACTGTGCAGCAGTACTATGGGAGGAAATGGCCCAACACTCTGCACCCTTTGAGGATCAGAGTGGGCAGTTTGCGATTTAACTGAATAAACAGTGGTAGAAAAAAAATGATCAGAAACTTAAATGCGTTCCAAATTTCAGAAAGCAAAGTCTGGGTGTGATCTTGCTGGGGTGCGCTCAGGAACTGGGGTTTGCCATCTCTGGATTGGAGAACTTGAACTGCCCTCTGTTCTGTGACCTCGGGGTCAGCAGTTTTTTAAGGCCCTCTGCTACTGCTACTCACCAACAGATCTTCAGGGCCTTTTCCACCTTGCCCACAGCCAGGGCCCTCATGGCCAGGTCTGCTCCCAGCTCCTCCTCGGAGCGCTGCAGCAGCAGGGCCAGCCGGTACAGCCCCGCCTCCGTGGAGATGGTCTTGGTCTTGCCATCCGGGTCTTTCGCCACCACCGAGGCCTTCTCCGTCCGGGCCCGGGACCGCGTGCTCTCGTAGGCCCGGATGTGCTCCTCCTGGAACTGAGCCAGCACCGCAGGGCTCTCGTAGTCCTCCAGAGACAGGAAGATGTCGAAATCCTCCTGCGGGTTTCACACATAAAAAGAACACTGCAATCAATGCGACTCTCCCGCTTCTCTCTGAAGGAGAGATGGAAATCAACTTTGGAAATCAAAAGAATGATGGCACAAATTAGAACACAACTTCTTAATTCCTCAAGAGACACCTTGGCTGCAGGGTTAAGTTTATTACGTCTTTGCCTCTTATCAGCAACAATCTTAGTGGCTAGCCCCAGCGGCTCACTGTTCAACTTCTACTGAGACTGGAAAGGGAATTCAATCAAATTACAAATCAATTGCAATTACATACCTGTAAGTGGGCAATCGCTTCAAACATCTTCAGATTATTTTCACACTGCATTCTTTTTAATGTGTTGTCTGTCAGACAGAAAAAAATAGAAAGCATTACAATTGAAACCCAGCAAGACAATTAAAAAGGTGGGGAAGAACAAGACCCCTACCTTTCTGAATGCTCAGCAGAAATTTCAATATCTCCACCATCACATGGGCTACAGCTATTTGATGGGTTTTGCGCTTCCAAAACAAAAGAAATCAGATTAGACTTGTTTAAAACCATATGAATAATCTGTCTTGTTCCAACCTACGTCTGGTAATTATTCTGTTTATCTGTTCAGGTGGCTTTCAAACCTTGAGTCAATAAATCTCAGTTATATTCTAGCTGTTTTTTCTTGCTGGGTAGAAAACAAGTCTCATTTAGCAGTATTCTTCTGCTCAGCCCCACCTCTTCAGAGACGTCTGTCTGGTCCTGTAGCTCCAGGCGAGCCCACATGGCCAGCCTCTCTGCAATGCACTCTGCTTCCTCACCAGGAAGACGCTTAAGTAGATTCAGGCACTCCTCCCTCTGCAAAATAAAAGTTACAAAAAAGCGCCTTTGGCTTTTTTTTTACTGAAACATCCATCAAACACAAAAATAACAGGTGCGAATAGTCAGAGCTCAATGTGTGGGCTGTGAGACGAGAAAGGTATCTGACCAAACTACCAGTTTTTGCACTAACAATGTAAGCAACCCAGACTACTTTCCACAAAAGAATCTAGGGCAACACAAGCTAGTGTGTCAGAAACCAGTCTCCATCGAGCCTCTTAACAGAGTTCCTAGCAATTACCTGATGCACTAACACATAGAGAGCCACCACTTTAAGGGCTTCAATTCCAAAAACATATTTTGTTAAACTGGTACTAAAACAAGATCAAAATGTATAAGATGTCAAGGGGTTATTTTTTATTACGAGGCTGATATCCATCCATTTTCTAACTGCTTCACCCAATTCAGGGTCAGGGGGGAGCCAGAACCTATCCCAGCAAGCAACAGGCTAAGAGAAGGATAGGGACACTTCGGACCAAATGCTCACACATGGGGCCAGATTTCCCAGTACTCAATTAACCTACCAGTATATCTTTGGGCTGTGGGAGAAAACCACAGTAAAACCTGGATGAAAATCTTGTTTCTTATGGCACCCACACCTTTTTTTGTATTCGTCTGCGTTTCATGCCCTGTACAACACCCTGTGATTTATTTTTATGAAGGGTACTTTACAATAAGCTTCTTTTTTCTAAGATTAACTGGCCATGGCCTGAACTGCATTTTCCCAAAATTAGAAATGCATGTTTCATGACTTTCAAAATGCATGTTCAGGTTACATTTTTTGGGGCTTGACTGCAGAGTAGATCCATACGTACTTTCCCTTGGCTGATAAAATGAACAATGCGGAGAATGTAGATTTCAATGGTGGACAGCTTGTAGGCTTCAGCCACCTTCAAAGCATCATCCAAGGAAGAGGGCAAGTCCTGCTTCAGAATGTATTTCACCATTTGCTGTAAAGGAATCAAGACATGGTGCCCAGGTTTACAGGGGAAGCCAGTTATGGAATTTAAATGCATGTAATCATCATATGTGAAGTGCAATACTTTAAAAAAATGGAGCAAAAAACTGTTGTTTTATACAGAGAAATTTGAAAATAAAGAATTTGAGCACACACTTTACAAAGCAAAGAACACTGTGCAAGAGCTCCAGAAATGTTTTGACACTAACCATGGCCTGCTTGTCATCAGAAAGGCTAAAGCCTCTAATGCCATATCCTCTTAGAAGTTTCTTCATTTCCATGAGCCTGTAGCTCTCCTGAAGCTGAAGGACCCTGATAACAATTAAACAATTACAGTTTAAAGTGTACATGTGCCTTCTACAGTAACATTTCACTTTCAGCCGTGATCACCAGGACTGAGCTGCAAACCTAGTTTGAAAAGTCTAAACTACAGGCTTCAAGCTGCTGCTCCACTTGCCACGAATAGCCGACTTTCTGAGAATAGACGGATGCATGGCTGCAAATGCAGGGAGAAAGATTAAACGGATTTCAAAACTGACTTGGGATGATCCATTTCCAGGTGTTGCTGGACCAGATGCTCCACTGCTTCACTCCAAGGAACAACAGCCTTGTACATGACCTGCAGCACTGCATCGAAGATGAGCTGGGAAAGAGGACACGCTTGGTTTACATGCCATCGCAACACAGCAGTCTAACCGAAGGCCGCAGAACATGCGGTCCTGCGTGACAAGGGTAAAAAAAAGCATTTGCCTGCACACATAAACCTCGCTATTGTCACTGCGGAGACTGAAACATGGGGAGAGCAAAAACAACGGCACTGCAAACTACAGGTTAAGCAAGGGGGTTCACTTACATCCGTGTCAGTCATGCAGCTCAGCACAGCCATAGCTTTGGCCTCCCCCTCCGTTTCAAAGAGAGAGGCAGTCCGAGAACTGCAACGCTCCAGCAAATCCTGTTAGACCATCCACAACAAATTCCGCATTACTTTTTCTACCAAAAAGAGCATTTTTCTTTCCATTTTAATTTTCTTACACAATTTAACTCTAATTAAAAATATATTGTAATAGATATATATATCTATTGGATAATAGTTCTATTAGTTTCGGTTTAATCTGGGCCTATACAAAGACGTAACTGGGAAAAGTGTATAGTGTTAACAGCTGGAAAGAAATGAAGACTGAGAATGCACTGTTGTATTGCAATGATGCATTTTGACCCAAGGTCTCGCTCCGAACCTTAATATACTGCAGGAGCAGCTCCTCCAGCTGCAGGTTGTGCTCTGCAGCATAGGGCTTTATGACTGTCTCCATGGTGGATGGAATGAGCTCCGGTGCCAAAACCTTGTCCAGCATGAGGAACGCGATTGTTGTCATATTCTCCTGTAACGACACAAACCAGGGGTCACAAGTTGGATTTAGGGGAAACTGCATCTGAAACCAAGAGCAGGAAGCACTTCTTTAAATAAAGGGCTGGGGGAGTCTGGAAGACACTACCCAGCAGCGTTCTTGATGCTGATACCCCGGGTTTCTTTCGAGAAGCAGCTGGGTGAGGTCCTTAGCTCAATTAACTGACCAATGAACGGGCTAGACAGGCCCAACGGCCTCCTTTCGAGTGGACCCTTCGTTCTTATGAATCTTCTTGCAAAACACTTGGCTTGCAGCGCACCTTTTCAAAGTCCGAGAGTGGCAGTCTGCAATTGTATTTTTTATACAGGTCCAGCATCTGTCGCAAGTTGCGCACCAAAGCTTTCAACTGTTCGACTTCTTCGCAGTCACCATCCTCCTTCTAGGAAATAAAAAATGCTGTATTAGGCCAGATAAGGTTTTTGATGTCCTCGAGCACCACTTGAGGAAACACAGAAGCCATTGGTTCTGGCCAACACATGGACGTAAAGAAGATCAAAAAAAGGCAGAAGATGATTATTTCAGAAGAAGGAGAACCGAGAAATTTTACCAAAGGAATCCAAAGCCATGAAGAAGACAGTCCTAATTCATTGGGGTTTCGAGAAACAAAGTATAGCTCCGCCATTTCCAGTCCATTTTCTGGCCAGTTACTCTAGTGGGGGGAAAAAAACAAAACAACAATTACATATCGAATTGTCGGTCATACCTCAGAAAAAGGGAAAATGAATACGGACTACCTTTTCAGTTAGCTCTAGGTTCCTTGACCTTTGTTCCAACCATCTTACAAGTGACTTCTGTTAATGGAGACAGAGAAGATCAAATTAAAAGTCAGTGTTGTGCAAGAAAGTTAAAATCAGCTACCTGATCAGACATACATCGGTGGAATAAACAGAATAACATTTAAAAAATTGTTTTATTAAGTTTAAGACTAATTTAAATCCTATATTTTAGATGCTATAGATGCTAACCTGTCCTTTTGGGACTATTCGTCTTACAAATGGGGTGATCACACTTTTAAACCACAGGCAGAGATCACGAGATGGGACATCTTCAGGGATCGTAGAGAGTAGTGTTTCCAGCATGTTTTCATCAAACTTCCTCTCAAATTCGGGCTGCAAGTGTTAATCAAAAGACATGAACATTTTTAATCTTAGTTCTTCTGGAAAACTGTGCTTCAGGTATTAATTGTGAAATAATTTGCCTCGCTTCCCTTTCTCAGCAGTTGTGAACATCTGTATTGTCTCACTGACTGATGATCTTAGTGTGGAAGAGAGAGTAATTTCGAAGATTTATTTTTAATACAACTATAACATATGCAAAAGCACATTAGACTGTGCAGCAACTTTAATTTTAATAGACTTAGAAAAACTAGAGATGGAAATGAAACTTGCTTGGTGTCTCAGCCACAGGTACTGAGCACTCCTGAGGTCTCGCTCCTTCAGATACCACATAATGTCACTCAGAAGGTCAGTGCTGTTCAGGAATTCAATCCAGGAGATTCCACTGCACATTAGGGGGGAGAGAGAGATAAAAATAAAGGAAAATGTTATTAGTTCTGGAGAGACCCAAGGATTATAGCCCTCAAGGACTAGTTATGCACGTCTGAGAGTAAGTTTTAATATTCAAAGCAGCATTATAATGATGTGGCAACAATTACGAGTTGAGTTAATTATTGAAAGTGAAAGCTAACGTTTTTTTAATTACAACTATCCACATAAAAGCCTTCAAAATCAGGCAAGCAGGATATTTAAGAGCTCACAGAACTCTAATCCTTCATTTCACTGGCACAAAAAAGAAAATGCTGAACACACCTAAATTTTTCTGGTCCACAGGAGCCATAGAAGGTAGTGAGCTTTGCTAGAGCTTCCAGCACCTGGGGAGCGAAACTGGATTACATCTCACATAGAAGAATGAGCACGTGAATACAGTTCAGAAAGAAAACAAACAGGTAATTAGTTTCAATAATTGGATGCATGGCTGTGGATAGTGGAAGGACAAGGCCCTACAGCTATGTCCGTCTATTGCAAACGCTCATTTTTAACACTCTGCAAACTCCACCGCGCTTTACAGGCGAGTTGACACCGATTGAAGGATGCTGCTGCAAGCACAGAGGTGCCTAACCCGTCAAAGGATTTGCTGTTTAGCCAACGGCAGAGTCGGCCCTGGCTAGATAACGCCCTCCCTACCTTGGCAGCACTCTGCGTGTTGTGTGCCACTGCATGGGGAGGCATGGTCATGTGTGGTGAACTGTAGTTCAGACCTGGACCAGAGACATGTGTGCACAGAACGGAACCTGCACAGTTACAGCCTGTACAGTTGACTGTCTGAGACAGATCTTACCTCAGTCAGCAGGAGGGGAAGTTCCTCCATATACGCGGACGTCTTCTGTTCATCTCTCTTCAAAAGCTGTTAATGATCACAGATTTTACTGAAATGAAGTCTGGCTGAGAGGCCACATTTCGTTGCTTTTTATTTCACCTAAAGAGACTGGGCAATTACGGCACTGTCCTGAAAAAACATAAAACTTTAGAGCTGCTTACTTTGTTCTTGGCGTAATTTAACATCTCCTGTGCGGTGTCAAAGGTAGGCCAGGGAGTACTGATGCAGTACTGCACGGTAAACTGCTCGTCCTAAAAAGGAGACCTTGTCATTTAAATTCAGTCAAATGAAACTGTTTATCAAGCAAACCACAATCAGTTCTCATATCCTGTCATTATTGTGAGCAGTACATCCATAACAAAATCCTACACATACCCACAGATGCTATGTATACTGTGACCTTGCACTGTCTGATTTGCACTTTAGTGTTATCTCCGTTTAAAGAATACATCCTTTCATATCTGAGCTTCGTAGCTAAAATACACTCCTGTAGTTCTCTTTAATTGACAAGAGGAAATGGGGGACCTCTTCCCATGGACAATCACAGTGGATGACAAAGGGTCATTTGCGTCAGAAGGAGATCCATGCAAGCCACTGCATAAACACATTTTTAGATCAATGTTACCCCCTACAGCACCGTGTGATGCATCCTACCTTTCCTTCAGTGCTCCCTATGATACCATTGGCATGAGTACTTTCCACAGTACAGTTATCTGAACAGCTCAAAGACTTTATATGCACTTTGGATGTTGTTTATGACACTTCACAAAACATTAGTGTGGCATTAAGACTATACAATGTAAAAACACACCGCATGATTAACAAAAGAGAAGGATTTTTTCCAAATGGTAGAAGAGCAGCTGGACATATCATACTCCACAAAGACTTTTGCAAAAACAAAACTGTACCCTTTGTATACAAATACATAGTGTTGCCAATTACTCAGAAATAATGCAAGGCCATTGATTTCTCTTTGGGAAATATCATACCACAATTTTGTGCAAATTGGTTTTGGCCTCTTCTACCAGCTCCATCCAGACAGCTTGCCCATAGCCCCCAGCAGAGACTGATGCGAGCTTCTCCAGCACAAAGTTCAGCCTGACTTTGTAGACAAGCTGGGCAGAAAGAGGGAACGACAACTCATATATACTGCGCCCACACAAACAATACGACACACTGTCCATTAATGATCAGAGACAATGGCAGATATTCAGGCTGCAAAAAACACTAACATACTCAAAAATCAGAATGCACATTCAAATTAATGGTGAGACATGTGAGGGTATAATACATATTTTCAAATATCTACCAACATGCTACTTTTATGAAAGCACTTCAGAACAACACAGTCCAAACATGCTAGTCAACGTCAATGACTGAAAGTGGCTTTCAAAATACATTTGCACAATATGGCTAATAACACCATGGCACAGTAGGATTAATGTAAAAATGATTTTAAAAAATCCTTCTTGAAAGTCAACGATATATCGGAATCATAGTACCTCAACATCAAGTCCAAACTGGATGGCAAACTGTTCTGCCTCTTCAAATTTATGCTTGTAGAGGAGACGACTCAGCCTGTTTTAAAAGACACATAGGTTACTGAATTCCTTTGTGTCTATATGAAACACAGGTATACAAAATTTATTTTTAATGCTTCAAACCTATTTTCCGGCAGGGCTTCTGTGAGACATCGCAATACTATGGCAGACACCATACCCTCGGAACTGCAAAGCAATTAAAAAGGGGTATTGTTGAAAGTGGGAAAGAAAACACGAGGGCTGTTTTTGCAGTCTGATCAGAGACTGCTTTGAAGAGCCTTTTTAAATTTAAATGACTTGGAGTTCAGTTCCAACTAGAATTTGTGAAATAGTCCATGAATGTAATATATTTTTTTAATCAAACAGCTTTCAAGATAGGAACAATTCAATAATTATTAACTGCACTTAAACACACTGAAGAAAAAAATATAGTGCATAAAAACAAGTATGTCATATTGACAACCTCTAATAAAGGAGAATACATTTGTACATGTGGTGGTGCTTCCAGTGGTGTGAAGATAATTAATAGCCACTCAATAGGTAATCTAAACTACATGTTTTTAAATTGATTACTACACAAACTGTTTTCTGTGAGGACAATAAGCTGGAATACCTCTCTTTGTCACCTCCGTTTTCATACCTTTCCTGGTTTTCAGAAATTCCTTCAAGTAAATATATGGTGTCCTGAAATACAGTGAAAAAAGGTGTGATATGATAATACTCAAAGTGAAAAAACATTCGTTCATATCTCAAAAACCCACTCATCCATTTCAAAAGTGATCTCTGATGAATAATGGACACATGCTACACATACGGACACATATTCTTCATGTTGGGTCGGTGATGCTTTCACAGAAGGATATTATTACCGTGCTGATTCCAGTTTGGACCAGAAAGGAAACATCAGAGACCTCCAGTGAATAGAGCAGGCTCATTGAAGGAACCGAGTACACGGTCAGGTTCCTATTCTACAAAGCCAAAAAGAGCAAGAATGAGAAAGAACATTTTTATCACTACCTGAAATGCATTCTATTCTGATGTAATCTAATCCTATTTTTTTTGTGGTAGGAAAAATTCATCTCATAATGCTCCAGTTGTCAAGTCAGTTCAATCTTGAATTAAAAAAAAAACGTATATTAAAAATGTGCATTCAACACACTGGGAATTGGTTAACTACGGCAGATTTAATGATCTGTGAACAATGAACATGCTGAAAAGAATTATTCACTGGGATAAATGGACCAGCGAAAAAGAAATGCTTAAGAAAACACAATGCTTTATACCAGTAAAAATAAAGGGGGTCTTGTATCACCTGTGTGTTGTCCTGTGCCGTCAGGATTATGAGCTTCAAATTTGCATCTTCTTGTCTGTATAAAAATTAAAGATTAAAAATGAGTTTGAAAACAAAGACCTGGAAATAAACGCTGAAGCAAAAAACTAACAGTGATGAAGATTTTACGTGGCCACAGAAGCAGAGTCTCCCTCTGTTGTAAGCAGGAAGTCCTGGATACACTGCGATGGCCAGCACCACACCATAACCAGAGAGTATATATCCCACATGCTCAAGAAATTCTGCAGGGAGAACACGAAACAATGTAATTCAGTACCCATCTTGTTAATTTCTCGCAGCAAAATACATACTCATTTTGCACATAAAATATATTGGATCTGTCACACGGGCCAGACTGCTTTTTTGTCCTGGGAAAAGGTCCTTTAAGCTTTTCAAATATTATTGACAAGATTTTTACACACATCTCACCTCATTGTCCAAAACAAACATCACATTTCCCAAAATCTGGGTCTTTCTCACACCTGCAAAAGAGCAAGACACACACTTAGAAACATTTCAAAATTCACATTTAGTTCCTAATAGTATATTAACATGTATCTATTACTGTATATATACACATGCTAAATATACATTAAGATTCAATACAAAACTTAAATGCTTTGTAGGCCTGAGGTGATACTTTATGAATTGATCAGTGGGGTAAAATTAAATTTATGAAGCTGGAGTGGATTTTATAAGACCATGCAACAAAATTGTTATGAAATTCACCTGTTACTAAACTGGAATCCATAACATTATTAAGACACAACGTCTTCTGAACCAGGTCCACTTTCCATGTGGAGAGCACATGGTCTCCACTGCCCTGTTGACATGACAAGACATGAAAGAAAGGCTCAGTTCACTGGAGACTGGAAGAAGAGATACAGTATGTTGAATTCAAGCAATTGGCACCATGACATCTAATGGGACAGCAACTGGTAAAGTATAACTGATGGCTTACATAAGACACTATTAGGTAAAGTGTTCAGTCCAGGAGTCACAGCAAGTGAAGACATGCCCTTGGTTATTTTGTCCTGTGCTAAGCTGCAATCACTGCGCATCGATTTAGACAACGGACATGAAACAATGCAAGTTGAGAGAAATAAATAAGTAAACAGTCTCAACGCACCCCAATTACAAGCTGTATGTTATTTGCCAGTTCAGCGATTTCAGCATGCTGGCACCCATGGGTGTGTCGCTCTTCAGTGGAAAAGAATGCAATCTTGATTGGATTCTGAAGCTGAAAATGAAAGGACACTTAAGTATCAAATTGAGCCAAATGACAGAAAAAAGTAGAGATGAAAATTACCTCACAAAAAACGTTCTGACATGATAAAAATTTGACCGTAAGTTTGAGTATTTGTCAAATGGTAATTAATTACACATTTCGGAAAATAGTGGACCTATTTAAACAAGTACCAAAATATTTTTAAAGCTTTTAACAAAATTTCAACAACTACAAATTGGATATCAGAAACAATTCTGAATATAAATCACTTCAAAGTGACAAAAAAGGACATAGGTATATTGCAATTGTACATAACATACCTCTTTCAAGGTGCCAAAGTCCGTTTTTGCTATGGCTAAAAAAAGAAAATTCATTAAAGGATGTATACACGATCATCAAAAGTTATATTCATTTAGCTGTGAAGAAGATGTTATCAGTGAGTAACTGCTCAGTGAGTAATTCAACCGTGAATTTGTAAATATCTTAAATACAAAGATAATTGCCAATTTCTTCTGCTTTACAGAAACACAAACTAATAGTACAATATTACACAATGTTTGAACAGTGACATGTAATTTCATCATATTGCTTTTAAAGAACTGGCTTGATACAATGGGGACAGTTTTACGAGAGGAAGACAGGCATGATATAACAGGGGGTACAGCTTACCCATATGAATTTTTTCCAGCTGAAGGTTGGAAATTTGAAAGAACCCGTCAGAAACAAGGAAGTACATGTGGTAGATTCCTGCACACAATGAACAAAATATGTTAGACCTTTGGTTGCTGACACAATATAATTCCATTCATTCGTTTTAGGCAAAGCAGACTACCTGGAGAATCTCATATTCAAACATTACCTGGAAGTGATGTGTCCTCCTGAATGAGCAGGTTTTTGTAGGTCTTTTCATTGTCACAGCGGGGCTTCGGCACTAGAGCCTACCAAAGCAAAACAAAATAGTATTCTTTTATTTATAATTCACATAATGTTTCAAGTGATATATCAGACTTGGCTACTGCACTATGCAGGTAGAAGATGTATTATTCTCTTCTGTATTTTGCTAGTCCTTTACTATGCTCTTATGAAATACCACACTCTACTATGCCAACACTGTGCAATTCACACTTCCTTTGGGCTTCACATACCATTATGCTCTGTGTTTAACAGTTCAGCCCTTGTAAATTTGTTTGAATTAACGCATTTGCCAAACTAAAAAAAAAAAAGTGAATAAAACGTACTTTTGTTAACACTGTCTTCTTCTCCGGCACGTAATTAAGGTGGATATTTCCATTTCTCTCCCCGACCACCAGAAACTGTCCTTCCTGGCAGAGACCCACTGTGTCAACATCAGAGTCTGAAATAATGTTTTTTTTTTAAAAAAATTACAATAAGAAACATTTCACAGAAAGACTTTTATAATAGTAAAAGTGACAAGGTGTAGGGACTGACCAAACTGAAGCTGTAACAAAACCGACAGGCAGCTCTGGTCCAACAGTACCACAGTCTTATCGGCAACCACAACACAGCCATTTGAACTGTGAGAGGCATAGAGGTTAGGGCTGGAAATCACCTACAATACACAGAAAAGGCAGGGGGTTAATTGACTGGATTTCATGTACGCTCTGGACACTACAATGAATTTCCAACAAGAAAACAGCCAGCTGTCTCAAGAACTGTGATTCACCATCCTCATCCTGGGGAACCTGTCTCTTCTGGGTTTGCACCAGGTGAGTTTGTAAACATGGAGTAGTTTACCTTACTTCCAGGCCTTTAAAAAATCAGCTCTTAAAAACCTGAAGGAGGTTTGTAAATAGAACGAACCCTGTGCCAATCAATGAGTTTCAAGACTGCCCTCGTTCATGTACCACAGCTGGAATATAACCGATTGAACTTAAGCAGAAGGAAAAGCAGAAACCAAAGTCCAGAAAGTGCAGAAAACAA